AATTTAAGTCAGGTTTTCAGAACCTTAGTCTATTTATAAGTCACTAAGTGCAAAGAAACAGAATTCAGAAAGTTGGCTTTCCTTTTTGTAATTGTCTATTGCCTGCTAGTGTTTTGTTGCCATGTGTGAAGCCGCGCAGCTGCGCAGCTTAGAGGGAACATTGATCCCATGTTTATATCCTGCAGACTCAGTGGATGAGTGGCTTGTCCACAATTTGAATGTGCATGTAGTTGGACATAGTAGTTGCATGGAAGCTATGCAAGTATACCTCCCTGTCTTCTGTTTTGTCATATGACACAGTTCTCTAATTTTCGTTGGTCTGGGCCTCATGTTAGAGGTCTCAAGATTGCCTCCCTTAAGGGTGTGGTGGGGTGTTTTATATATAGCTTTAGATGTTATATTAGCAACTGAGCAGTAGGAGGCACTACATGACTGATTTCCTGTTTATTGAACTCTTCAGGCTTAAAAAACATAGAATATCTGCTGTAACATAGAGGGTGCTTAGTCCTAAAGAGTCCCAATAAGATGTCTAGTCTTTTCTATTGGTTAATATCGAACATAATTTATTTGAAATCCTGTTATGTGAAGGGCTTTCGAGAGACTGGTTTCAAGAATGAAAATGTGGAAAAAAAGGGAGAAACAGTTTAATTAAATAGGAACAAAAAAAAAAGAACCCTTAGTTACAGAAAATATGGGAGACAATTTTTTATATTTTATGCAACAGAATCTTTGGTGCTAAGATTCCGTTTTGTGCACAGTGCTAGAAAAAATGATTTTAATGTAGTACGAGGTTTGCAAAGCTTCTGTAGCTGCCTCCGAAGCTGTTCTCAGTTGTGTCTGCTCAGAAACACATACATATATAGTGTGCTTTGCAAGGAGCCTCAGGGTTCAAAAAACACACCTGTTTGAATGACTCAGAGAAGCGTATTGTTCATATTCCGGCAAAGATCATTCTAAAAGTTGACAATGTCCTGAAAAAAGAAGCATTAACAAAGCCTTCCCAATCTACTGGTAGTTAGATTACAAGATTTTGTCTTCTCAATCACCAGTCCATCTGTGCCAAAAACATTCCATATTAAGGGGAAACTTAAGGTTTTTTTTTTAAAGTAAAGATGATGATTTCAACAGTGTGATTGCTGCTCTTTTTTATTTATGTTGCATGTAAAAACTCATTTAAAAACAGGCAGAATCTTGATTTTATCATATTTCCTTATCTAGAAATTGCAAGCATTTACATTTTAAGATTCATCTTAAATTTACTTATTTATTTTCATGTTGGAGAAAGAAATGTCAAAAGTCTTCACTTACTCAATGTCCTTTGATGTTTGTCTAACATCTTATATTTTCCTAGTTTCCACAGAAATGCAATTTTATTATGTCCTTATCATTTAAACATGTCATAAACAAACACAAACACTTAATTCTTTCCTTTTTTAATTGGAAACTGGTTTTGCTGCCTTTTTATTTTAAAAAAATCAGCTATAAGTGAATGGCTTTAAAATGTCAACTGTAAAGTTAAGTATTTAATAATTGAACAGTCCATTGGGTCTTAAATCACTGTGCATATACCTTGAATGTTGCTTCTCTTTTGTTTGAGTAGGTACAGAAACATATCAAGTTTACTCTTTAAGTTAGTTTTGGTTAATTGTGGTTTGTTAAATAAGCCACAATTGGCAGAGTTCACACATAACACTAAGTTGAAAGTATGACAATCAGGAAATGTCAATAGATGGAAGAGCGATAGCTACATTACAATATCTTTTCCTTGGGATATCTCCACAATTTAGAAGCTATTTCACAGACTGGAAATAGTGACTGAAGTAAGATAGGGTAAGGGACTACAAAGACCATATTAATTATCTGTTTCATCTGAAGGTGTTAAGTTATCATTATCTTCAGCACGCCCTTTTTCTGTTCCTCACCATCCCAGGTTCTTCTATTCTCTATGGTAAAGAAGATAGGAAGTACCCATGGGACTTTCCATTGCGACCCCATGGACAACATTCCTCCAGGCCTTCCTGTCCTCTACCATCCTCTGGAGTCCATTTAAGCTCACNGAGCAGAAGAAAAAGAAATGTGCTTACCTTTGCAATCCACTGGTCATCCAAATGTAAAATGTTAAAAAGATCAACCAATTCATTCTGGCAGTGGAGGACTTCTGCTCTCCTTGACTTGAAGGAACTGAATGAAAGTTTTGTCCTTAATCAGCCCAGTCACTGAGATAAAATCCCAGGAGAAAATGTACAATGTGAAAGCCACACCACTTAATGTCAATATGGCACTTTTAGAAAAGAAATTAGTCATTGCACATGTTCCCCTTTCCAGTGATCAGAGATTAAAAAGTTCTTTAATGGTGAAGCAGGAAGTGATTGGAGGAATTGATTGGAGGTGATCACAAAGAAAGATGTAGATGTTCTTCATTTTATAGAATGTGTTTTCTACAGGACTCACTTTAGAACTTCCTTTATCTTTATGGGTCTGAATATAACCCTTTTATTCTGAAGCCCATTCAAAAGTATATCGACAGAGGGAAAGTATGCAGTTCATGCTCAAAGGACCCAGATCTTAGCTAAAGAGTCTTGATGGTGAATATTAAGTTATTTCCACACATAATAATACTTTTGTACTATGAATACTCTCTCTCTGTCTCTGTCTCTCTCTCTCTCTCTCTCTCCCTCTCCCCTCCTCCCGAGTGTGTTCGTTCAAATCAATTTTTGACTCGGACTGAGAACAAGTGACTGGTCCAAAGTCCCCCACTGGCTTTGTGCATAAGATAGATATAGAACTCACAATCTCCTGGTTTCTAGCCTGATGACTTAACCACTACAAGAAACTGATTCTCCCATTAATATAATTAACGTGAACATTTCTGTTCCTGAAGCATTACTCTTTCCAGATGTTGGCAACCCATATAGTGTGGCCATATATCCTATTGGCAACAACATTCATATTTTATATGTCTTCAGTTACCTCATCTGTACTTGCAGCTTTATTATGTTTAAACATTTTCACAGCATTGTTTAGTTCTTCATCAATTTTCTTCTTATCATTTATAGCATCCATATCAGCTCCAAGTTTCTCAAATACTCATTCCAGAATTCCTTTACTTTAGTTCATACCAAAAATCTTAACACCTTTATTTTTTTTATCTTATTCACTCTATTGGAGTTTTTTTTTTACAAACTTCCAAAGTAATTTTTATTTCCTACCAAATTACTCTGCATTTTTTCTACTTATTTTAATCTTAATCATTTCTTGTTCTTGAACACATTCTTTAAAGCTACATTTTTCTTTCTCTACAGATTATATAATATTTTTCTCATCTTCATTCTTTGCAATAGATTTCCTTATATGCCTCTTTCACTTCATTATTCCATTAAGTGTCTTTTATCATACTTCCCATTCATGTAAGAGATACTTCCTTCTTTGGATGAAAGACAAGAACTAAGAGAAAGTAGGGGTTTTTTTCTGTTCTCTGTTTGAAAGCCACCTGAAAAAAAGTAGAAAGCTATTAGGACCTATTAGGAGTTTTGGTTGCTTGTTTCATAGCAATCTAATGCAGTCTGATAACTGGTTTTTAGTTTGGCCCTCTTGTGTTTAAAAAAGATATTTATATGCTACTTGGATTTTCTTCTTTTTCTATCCCAACTTAATTTCCTCTGCTCCCTAGTTAGAAGATTTTGCCTATTACAGTATATCTGTGAAATATTAGTTTTCAGACTTCTTATAATCAGGTAGTTCAGCAAATTGTAGAATACCCTGTTGGGACATGTTTTCTTAATTTGGCTAAATTAAACTATTCAATAGGCATGTTTTTGAGTTTTGTGTACAAGGGTGGGGGGGAGGAGTGGTTTGCAGTTTTGTTGTATATCCAGTATAGTCTACTGTATATATTTTGGAAATTAATTTTTTTTAAAATTACATTGGATTTAAACTTTTTTTTTGTCAGAGTGCTCATAATAATTAAGCAGTTGCATAATTGCATACTGACACTGGATAGAACCAGCTTTTCTTTGAAATGGGAAAATCTACCTATTTCTAGATTTCATTCATAAAATCAGTACATTGCAATCTGCAATGAATTAAGTGCAAATTCAGTGGGTGCACTCTATCACAACCCAGAGGCACATAAATGAAGGGCACAAATATTACTGAATATATTTTGGAAGACTCTCCTTTTGTTTAATCTAGCTGTTATTTTCCATGGGTAAAACTATTTGCTTCCTATATGCATCAGCTCTTCCTATTTGGATTTTGGATGGTGGAACTTGCAGAAACTTAAAGAGACAAGGAAACAAAATTAGAATGCAGAGGGTTTTTTTGTGCAGCTGATTGTCCATGTTTCTTAAATTATAATTTTATTAAATTTATCAAAGTGTAAAATACAACTGAAAATGAAAATAGTGGGAAAATGAGCCTTCCCCCCCCCCACAAAAAAAAAAGAATGGAAAAACTTTAAGGAAAAATAAAATAAAAGCATTGGCTTTTGAGTCTTTTTAGTGCAGTAGAATAACATAATAAAATTATAATCTCAATTTTTTACTTTTATGTACCTAATATGTATGAGTCAAGAGTCTCTATGTTTCTTCCATAAGTGTTTTACAGAATTATGTGGGTTCCGATTAGGAACTAGCCTAATTAGGTTAGAGTAGGTTATTTCAGAAGAACTCATTTGGACTCATTTATGATCATACAAGGGGCTTGTTGAGTGGACAAAACCTTTGAAGAGATGTTGAAAATCTTTAAAATAAAATTCCAACCTGGTTACTTCCATACTAGCTAACAATTCTGGAATATTAATCTTTCTAAAGAGCGCTAGGCTGCTTAATTGTGCTCAGGCAATAAACAACTGTGGTTTTTTTAAAGGTAGGAATGATTTAAACTGGCAAGACCAGTTAAAGTCACATTAACTGAATTCTGCTGTAGTTGGGGCTTCTGAGTCATCCTCAAGGGCAGATGTGCATGTGAGATATTACAGTAATCTAATAGAAGGGTTACCAGAGCATAGATCATTGTGGCCAGATTAAAGTAGCAAATCCACTAAGATATCAAAGTGAGTAAATTTAATAAGACTCGAAAAACATATGAGTTAAAATAAGTGGAGGAATGGATAGAAATGATACTGCTGTTGATTATTATTATTATTATGATTGCCTTCTCTATCAAGAAGATATAGATTACACTTTCTGGAAATAAACCATAGATCTTTCAAAGTGGCATGTAATAATAGAGATGTAGGCCTTTCATTAACCTGACATCAATTGGGAGACAAATTCTGCTAAGCATAATAGTTTCAGAAAATAACTAATTTGTCTTTCTGACAATTCCTCCTTTAGCAAGTTGAGGAAGCTAAAAGTGTTCAGCTACTCCTGACCTGATAAAAAGAAAGAATAAATTGGTGAATGGTAGGAGTGGAGTGTTGTACAAAAGCTACCATATCATACTGGAGTTTTTGAATGTAAAGAAAACTAGAACTGACTATAGTCAAATACATTATCTTGGGCTTTCAACCAATCAGAATAGACCTGGAAAGGGACCTTGGAGGTCCTCTAGTCCAACTCAAGCCAGTGGTGGGATTCAATTTTTTTACTACTGGTTCTGTGGGCATGGCATGGTGGGTATGGCATGGTGGGCCTGCCACGGGCTTGGTGGGCTTGGCGTGACGGGTGTGGCAGGAGAAGGATACTGTAAAATCTCCATTCCTCCCCATTCCAGGGGAAGGTTACTGCAAAATCCCCATTTCCTCCCGATCAGCTGGGACTCAGGAGGCAGAGAATAAATGGTGGCAGGGACAGTCAGAAGTGGTATTTACCGGTTCCCCGAACTACTCAAAATGTCTGCTACTGGTTCTCCAGAACTGGTCAGAACCTACTG